ATATATTAATAATAAAGATATTGATTCAGAAGATTTAGAAGATATCTTTGACGGAAAAATCTATAAAGAATTATTGGTATTATAACTAAATTTAGTGTTAGCAGTAAATAGAAACTCATTTGCCATTTGTAGAGGCTTATTTGAAGTAAAAGCACATTGACATATTTGTTGACTACACAATAGGTTAGAAACTCTTAAGTGTTGGTTAATTTTTTTACACTTGCACAAATTTCGTTATAGGAGTTTGAAACAATATAAGCATTTTGACAGCCATAACAGGTACCTAGAAGATATTTATAAGTAGATTTTTCTGCCATTATTGAAACACTAAATGTGAAAATTTTTCAACTTCTCTTACAAAAATTTTTTATTAGATAATCAACATTGTTTGTTAGTTGTTAAATTAGGTTTATTTGATCAAGAATCAATGATATTTTCAGTTGTTTTTAGTATTTTTGATTTTAATTATAATTGATCATTAAAAATCACCTGACCTCACTAATTTGAAAACAGATATAATCATTATTTGATTGATTTTACTAAGTATAAACTTTACATAATAATTAAATTTTTTTAAAATAAAATAACAGAATATTTTTGATTTTTTTTTCATATTTAAAATATATATTATTATCATATTTGTTATGATAGTTTTATGTTTGAAGATGTCAAATTAAGTAAATTTAACTCAATTTCAAGAATTTTATTTGTTCAGTATTGATGTCAATCTACTTTAATAAATTATTTGTTTATGTTTGGATTTGATTAATTTATCTATAATCATTTCTTCTACTTTTTCAATAAAATTTTCCACTAAGGAATAAAATTTATTTTTAATAAACAACATTTTACACACAAATAATAATGAATACTTTTGTAATAGTTGTTAACAATGAACTATTTTAAACTTCAACTTGCAATTCATCGGTATAATATTAAATCACGTTACGGATCATAGATTAACAATATATATTTCCATCATTAGTGTTCGATAATGATGATCATGAAGATCTTTGAATCCCACAATTTCACATTTTTACCTTATTTAATATAAATAAGAATAGAATCCATCTGTTTGTTCCTTAGTTTGCATTCACTCTTGTGAGTGTTTATACTCCCTCTTGTGGAGGAGGGCGATGGTTATAGGCTGACTCTGTCCCCATGTCTTCGGATAGGGGTCGATTTGCACCATGTAATCTAGTTTTCCTTTATGAGTGGTAAAACTTTATAAATTATAGCGGATGGGGGTGATAAGAGGGGATGATTATAAAATTCAAAAAATTTACTATATAAATATTTTCATATCGATTCATATGAAATTTCGATTACTATATTCCCTTAAAATATATAAAGAATCACAATTAATTAGAAATTGACTATCGTGATGATCAGATGAGCAACGTGAAAAATATACGATATTAAATAAAATTTTATAATTCAATAAAAATTTAATTGATTGTAATTTCAGTTGTTCGTAAATAAAATGCTAAATAATTCAGATATGTTTCCCAAAGATGTGAAAATTAGTAAGAGAAAAAAAATTTTTTTTCTTCGATCTAATCACATTATTTTTCGTTATGAAAATAAAAACAAACCTAATAATAGAACCCTCAAATAATTTAGAATGTTTAAACCTTATTTAGCAAAATTTCTCAATCAACGCAAAAAATGTAGAAGATAATAAAATATTCTACATATAGGGTTAAGCAAAATGATTACAAGTTTTCGGCATGAAACAAACAATTCCTTGAAAAATCCAAAGTCATGAGACTCGGGCTACCATTTTTTCCTGGAGGCGGGTCTTCGAGAATGAATTGTTTGTACCAAATTTTTATTTCAAGCAAGCACAGCACTTCTGCATTTATTTCGACTACTTCTTTTGAAGATACATGTTTCTTATTGCTTTATTAAAATCAATTTAGTGATGATAAATTTACAAATAGTTAAAATAGTTAACATTATACCAAAATAAATTTCTAACCAATGTTGTATAATTCATTTATTGAAATTTTCACTACCATTCAAAAAAGCAGAAAAAAGGTATTGATTTAACAATAGATAACCGATTTTGATTATTCACGATCCGATCGATAACAACGGCTTGTTTTTCTTTAATAAATTTATTAAAAAAAAAAATATGGCAATATTTGAAGATCACAAGGAAGATTAAATTTCTTCGTTATCCTCATTTAGTTGTGGTTGAAATTTCAATTTTCGTAATTTTTAAATAATTCCTCGATTTTATTTTTGATTCCCAACGATTACATGAAAATTTAAATTTAAATTCTCTATAAATTTAGAGTAAAAAAAAAATTTTAGGTGATTCAGAATGTAGAAAGTCACCAAATGAATTGTTTTTTGATATTTATGTAAAGGATTTATAATGAAACCATTTCTTTCTTTCAGACAATTCATCGTAAATATATTTGCGTAAATTATCTATTAAGATCATAAACATTTTCTTGAAAATGTTGTAAAAGAAATAGTACAACCTTTTGTATGTTTATTAATAATGAACTTGTCCGCATTTGGATAAATGAACGGTAACATTCTTTCGATTGATTCAGAAGTTTCGTCATTCATCCCAATTAATTCGCTATGTAATTTTTTTTTCCAACTTATGCTACTTAAGGACAATAAAGTTCAAACTTTTGATTTTTATTTTAAGTAAAGCATTGGAAAATTTTATTTGCATAATTTGGTTACTCGTTAATTAAGTTTTAATTTGAACGTAAAACCTAAATTGAAATATTTTTTTATTGCATAATTCTTCATTGATCCATACAAAAAACGTCTCTCTTATTCTTTAAAGTTCTTTGTTACTGATTCCATTTGGTGATAGGGAGATTATTGTCTTAGTCTGAACTAATTTTGGAAACCAGATACCGTTCGCCAGGTATCATGTTTTAGATGTATAAAACAGATAAAAGAAAATTTAAAAACTAAGCTAATAAAACATGATTGTCGATACCAATGTACCAATGATGAGGAATTTCCTTAAACCTCCAATGCCATTCGATTTTCTCCTTTCAAATTGATCGTAGAGAAACTGAAATTTCGTCGCAATTGACCAGCATGTTGTTGCATTGCCAGCCTCGATTAGATCGATGACGGAAGCTTCATAGGTTAAAAATAGTAATTTTCTTCTCAATCACTGCAAACTTTTCATAATAGTATCGTAAGTTTCCGGATACTTGCTTGTTAAAATTCAAAAAAAAGTTCTGGGTAAAAAGATTTGCGCGTCACGCTCGTGTTGCCTAGAAAATGGATGAAGTACATTTACCAATTGTTGCTTCAATCTAATAAGAATACTTTTTGTACCTTTTTATGTGTTTATCCATTATTTCTGTTCTCTTTACAATTCCATTACTATCAGGTCAAATACAACAACATAGATGATAGTTGTTTATTTACCTTCAGGAAATTGTACGACCATGAAGTATTTGCTTTATAAAAAACTACATCTCACGATATATATTCATTCATTCATTACAATAAACCTTTTTTATATATTAACTAGTTTCTTAATTATTATCATTATCTTCTATCTACAAATTCCTGGCAAACTTCCAACGAATAAACTTGGTAAGTTTGTGGATCCTTTTAATAAGGACAATAAATTTTAGTTCTATCATCAAGAACCTCTCCCAAAACTACTTTTGATCTTTTCCAGGCAAAGTCCCGATTTGTATTTAGTTTTCGCATGGGATTAATAAAATTTTTTTCTTGGCAAAAGGATTGCCGTGAAGAATCTTTACGCACATGATTTTTTTTATATAATCATCCATGCTGACAAATTTTAGGTTATTAAAGACCGTGACAAAATGTCACGATCAAGCTATTATCCGGAAAAAGATGAAGCTTTGCAAGTCGTTATTCAGATTGTCTTCACTATCTCACAAACACAAAGCAAACATGATTACGATATTTAGGATTATAATAGATGCGGAAATATGGTATTTCATGTAATATACGCTAGAAGTGAAGAGAAACCGTTGTTCAAATTATTGAATCCCTTGTGAAAATATGAAATACAAGGCGGAGAGAGTCCTTGGTCATATTACATGATTACTGGAAGAGGCACAGTATCCGATGAAAGCAAGGGAGGAATCGAGGGTATAGATAGGCTAATGGGATAGAAACGTAGTAACGAAATAACGAAGTAGATTCATCATGTATCACGGGCAGAAGACCCGAACTTTTGTATTTATTTCTTACGTGTATTACTGTAATAAAAAAATGTTTACTACAAACACTGATTGTGGCAAAATGTGTCAGAAGATGAGAGCACCGTTTTTTCATAACCACCGCGTAATATGATCCTGAATATTCACGTGATTTGATTCACATTTTTTAATAAATACCCCGAGAATTCGTCGGAGAATCAAATCTAATGCATTTTTTTCGTGTACTGATAACTTACCTTTTTTTTACTATGCTTATTAATTTTTTGCTGTATTACGTCACCTCAAGAGTTTATCAAGAGTCTATTTTATGATGGATTTAGAAAAGTATATATATATATACTATATCTTTAAAAACTTTTTATTTTACTTTCTCTAAAATTCATTTATCACTCTTATCACTCACAGAAACATAATGATAGTGTCAATAAATTGTTTAATTCTAGGACAAGCTTCTGAAAATAATTTCAATGTTGTCGTTGGTGAAATATTCACCAATGATGATAAAGTTGATATCAAGTTTATTGATTTAACCGTTTCAAATTTCAAAGAGCTTCTCTTTCGCAGGAAAAAAGTAAAAAATTCAGTTCAAGATTTTGACTGTATGAATCTTTACAAAGTTGAACTTAACTTTAAGAGCCTTAAAAATAAAATTTATACCAAAGAAGAGATTAAAGTTCTTGGCACGATGATGGAAAATATGTTTGAATTTAAGGAATATTTTAATAATACTGATAAAAAACCTAAGTCAAGACACCTTCATGTCTTCATAGTTCCAGCTGGTAAGTATTTCCCAATGGTTTACCTCTTGAACAAGAAATTTGCAGTAACGAAATATCTAATGTCTTTTACTTATCTTAAAAGCACAAAAGTTGCCTGAAAAATTAGAGTTTCATGATCCCCATCCTCTTCTCATGGGTAGTGGTTCCACTTGGGACTTTCAAGCCTCAAATGCTTTGAAAGAAAAACTTAAGGATGCTATTCATGATCATTTCAGATATTGGAAGGATGGACAACTTGAAAAAACAACAATACCGCAATACTTCATTCTAGCAGGAGCTGGAGAAGGAAAATCTC